AACTCCATTTAACACACAGCTGGTTAATTAAACAAGCATTTTCCTTGCAAGCAGAATTGAGTATTGCCTATTTACTGCCAAATACTGGTTTGGGATATTCAAAAGTATCTTTAAAACTACTAGACAATGCAAAATGTACAACAGAGGCCCCTAGCTTTATAAATACCTTGCAGGCCGATAAAACAAGCAAGCCTACGGTATAGGTATATAGTATGTAACGTAACTGATGATGACGACACCACACTGCATATTAATTCATTGCTGTTATTCCACATTTCAAATTTAATTTCCACGTGCATAAGAAAGCTTTTTCAAAAATCAAGAGTTACATCTCTCAACTGCCAAGTTTGTTAGTACTTGTGATTGCTTTCAGTTCTCAAATTTTTTACTGACAGCCTCTTGTGGCAATGCTACAAAACATGTTTGTCCCTTTGATGTTGAAAGGTTATAGAACTGATTGTGATTTTTCTTCAACTCTATTATAGGTGTACAAAATACTTTCCCAGTAAGACCTGTTAACATACAGAATTGATGCTGACATTCTATCAACAACATCCCATTACAAAAAACAACAAAACACACCACCTTCAGAAACAAAACGCTACAGTTACAGAGAAAACCAACATCGTAGTTTCATTCCATGACTTACCTTATGGAGAAGGTCAGATTGGCTTGCCAATTATCTTTTCTAAGTGCATAAGTGCAACAGTCAAACCAGCTATGGAAAGTCACATCCAAGAGTTAATTGATAACTGTAGAAAAATCCTATCAAACAATCAGCTTAAACTGAAGTGTGCCTTTATTGACGCCACCAAATGTAAGTTTTCTCTCTCTTCTTTGGGACTAATCACGCAGAGAACAAGTCCTGCATTTATGCAAACACATAAAAGGAATCCAGAGAGCAGCAAAGGACTCAGAGCAATAAATGCACACTAAGCAAAACCTGAGATAAAATAGCTAACTTTTGCCGTAATCCTATGATGGATCTAGTTGACTATTATAAATAATTAAGTGTCCCAGTGTTTCCTCGAAGTTAACCGTCATATACCAGGAAAGGCTAAATAAGCATTCACATCCATCATACAGAGCCTCCATTCGCTTTATAAAAATCACCAGTTAGCACTAGTTGTCCTATTTTGATAAGAGCTTTAAAAGCTTTTATTCCCCATCAACTACTTACTTATGTTGCCTGGAGAAAAATACTTCATAGTCAATTACCATATAGCCATTTCTGCAAAAACAGCAGTCATTTTTTTCTACTAGAAGTACCTACACTGCTTCCAGTGCAGTACGAATATAAAAGGCACTGTTTCACAGATTTGCAGTTCCCCCATAAAACACTCTTTTCACTCCAGACTGAACTCTCAAATTAGTTTCAAAATGACACACTGATAAGACAGTTAAATTTCTCCACCAAATTTAAGACCAGCATTTAAAATCGCTTCTTTTACAGAAACAGACGAATGAGTATTTAGCATCTATTGAACAGAAAAGGTGTTTACATTATTTACATATTCATTTCTCTTTCTGTATTTGGCTGTCTGCTTGGGCAAATATAATGTAGGTATATGCAGCAGGGATAAAGAAGTCAGAGGCGTAAGACAATTTGTAACATAGAGCTACAATTTACTATACTATGTAAAATAACTTGTACCACAGGGCTACAATTGATTAACTGGGGTTTATTAATGAACCTGTCCACTATAAACAAAGAATAGTTTGCAGGTTTGCTGCTTTTGCTATGAACAGACCCAAAAATCAAACTTCTGTAGCAACAGGACCAGCTGACAGGAATGCATACCTTGCTTCAAGAGTGTTCAGCATATGATACTAGTGCTGTGCAAGTTAATCTGTTTAGGCAACAAGTGGTTTCTTATTCTGGTTTTCACAGGAATGAATGTATTGGAGCACATATATTTCTGGTAAAGTGTTTTTCTAATTGCAAACAGTAAGTTACTAAACAGTTTTCACCTGCCAGGATGATACAATTTGAATCTTGTCAACCATGTAACAGATCAGTATCAGATAATGATAATCCATATCTGTTGCCAACTCTAGAAAGGACTGAATGTACCTAAAAATAATCTTTACATATTACTATAACAGTAGTAACAAAAAGACCTACCAAAACTTTGATCACAAGTTGAACATGTCTACAGAGCTAACTAGGATATTGTTTGCTTCTTCTCTGGCTCGTTACCTGACTAACAACCTCCAGCAAACACGAACACATTTCACATAGCACTGCATGTAGCCAGTTAGCTCATTTTTCAGTGGTCAGATACCTTTATCAAATCCGTCAGTGTTCCTTCTTCACCCAGACTGGTGTAGATTATGGCAGCAACCACAACAGCCGGCAGTTCCAAACTAAGAGGAACAAGAGCTCTCACAGATGTTGTGCGACAGAGGAGAAAAAAAATTAGTATTGCCATAAAAAAATTGCATTTGCTGCATACAGTGGCACAATGCATACCCCTCCATGAGCCCGAGACTGGTGTTTTTCAGTACAGCAGTGAAAGGTCCACCCTACCTTGCAGTAACCAACATGCACTTCTGGACTTCAATGTGGGAAGATGGAGAAGAGGTAGGAGAACAGAAGCTGCTCCATTCAATAAAGCAGAAACTTTCAAAAGCTATTATGGAACTAGGGAAGTTTTGGGTTGCTTTCTTCTTTAATATTTTCATAGTAAGATCTCCACCTGGTGGTAGGATGTTTTACTCTAACCTTTAGAGTGAACACACATACACACTCCCCAGAAGGGTCATTTGTGTTTCCCAACGCTCTCTATGCTAGTTTACAGAAATACTTAACAGCAAAATAATTTTTCTAAAGTCAGCATTTCTCCCATTGTCATCCATCACAAGAGTGCTGATTTACCAGAATATTCACAAGACTTATGTAAAACCTCTCTTTATAGAGAGAATTAGTTTTAAGTAGCAGCTCCTAGCTACACATCCAGGTAAGGGAGTTAACAGCACTGTTCATCATCCTGGTGACAAAAAAACCCAGGCTCTACAAAAGCTATAACCAAGAATGCTTCATTATACTGGCAGATTCCTACTATGAATTAAGAATTAGGTACCCAATGCCTACATGCAAAGTATTTTTCTTTACTACTGATTGGAGAAATTAACAGTCCTATAACTGGCCCAATCAAGTCTTTACCAGAATACATCACTAGCCTGTGCTATTGATTTTGAAAACAAGAAGAAGGAATGGAATGAACCATTTCCTACAACATACGTGTTCATTTATATGGTATATGCCTACAGATATCTGCAACTACAATGAAGAGAAAGCCATTATTCCTACAGGTCAAACTGAGGAGTATTCAGAATGTTATGGGATACAGAGTGATGCTTAAAAGACATGAAAATATTTATACTGTGTAAACATTCAAGTATAAACAGGAAATTAAATCTAGTATTACATTGTGGTTTAATGCAGTTTTTTAAGCCAACATTAATGTCCAAAGCAGTCCCCTAATCCTCATCCATCTGCATAAACCTTGGCCATCCCCCCCCTTCACCTTCTGCTGGCACAAGGTTGAAATGCCACCGCGTAGTTCACCAGAAAAGGGAATTTATCCAAGATGAAAGACACGTTAAAAAGTCTTAAATTTATCATGAGACTAATGCTAGAAAAAAGCTCAAATCAACTTCCAAAATTCTGGCCATGCATTTAAAAATACTTCCAGAGTAAGATGAAGATAACTATTTACAGTATTTCTAATTTTCTATTTATGTTATTGTGCTATGCTTAAACTGCTCAGCCTGGTGCTTGTATGATGTAGTAAAAGCCAGTCCAGTAAGAATTAACATATGAGCAAAGACTATGCAGAAACAGTTATGCGACAGAGTTTGAATAAAGCTCTAAAGAATTAATTTTCCAAATATGAAGTTATGTTACCCATTATTTAGAAGAAATTTTTGCAAGTCAATTGCCACTGTTCCATTTACATGGACCTTTCACCAGCTTCAAAGCCTATCAGTTTCAAGTGTTCAACACTCATTCAACTTTTAGCTCAGTTCTAGGAAGAAACAAATTCCAAAATCTTCACTTAACATCTTAAACAGAGATCTTTTATTCAAAGCTTTTTCAGACATTAGATTAATGCAGAAAGGACAGAAAAGCTTTCCTCAAAATTACAATTGTTTTCCATACAAATGTAGGCTAGACCCCTAAAAGACTTGGTTTTGTTCCTACAAATTGTAACCAAGCAAGACAATCCATATTAAAACAGCCTTCTATTTGTTAAAAAAATCATTTAAGAAAGTTTAAGATGCTTAGCCTATCTTAACAACACAACTAACACGTTTAACATGAATCCTCCTCCAGAATAAGAAATCTAAATGAAGGAAAAGAGTACCAAAATACGGAGTTTTACTGCATCCCTCATCCTCTGAGTGCTTACATGATCAGCTGGGCTACGTTCTTTTTTTTTTGTTTTCATTTGTTTTTTGTTTTTTTTTTTTCTTCTTAAAGTTTTTTTTTTTTTTTAAGAAAGCTGTTCTTTTCTATTAAGAAAAAAGTTTTATAGCCTTGATTGCGCTGTAGGAAAAAAAAAAGTCTCCAGTATAAAAGAGTTTATAGTATCGAAAATGCCTTCCCCTTCCCCAACAGCACCTAAATATAAAGAGGTCAACAGCAACGGACTAGTCTAAAGTGGTAATCTAAGAAAATCGATCCCCATAATACACTGGAATATTTCTATTCCAGCAAGGTTTCAATAAAAAGAGACTGGCATATAAATCTGGGGGATAGGGACATCATTTTTCAAACAGTACATTGTTCAGAGTCAACAATTCACATCCTGCGAGAAACTTACAGATACTTCTTTTACAAAACTTCCTTTTCAGTGGCAAAGGAAGTTAAGGCCATCAAACTCGCAACTTAAAAATTCACATACAGAAAATACAAAAATACGTTGTGCTTCTGAGAAGGCTCCGTTCTGTAGGCAAGGATTACCATGATTTGAGGAACCTGGCTGACTGGAAGTTTACATGATCACACAGCTTCTGTTAGATGTCTTTGGGCCTGCCTGTTATGAATAGAAAGAGTCATCTTTGAAAAAAAAAATCCAGCAGTACAAGATTTAGCAACTCAAAATAATATAGTATACATTTTTAATATATGAAATTATTAGCCTGGCATGGTCTAAGCAAGAGCCAGCATGCACAGCTGTACGACCTGTTATCCCCCATAAGTAAAAGAATGCTAGATATCCTTTCTTATGAGAGGTAATGGAGGACAGGTACAAGAAAAACACAACTTAAATAATTATCATATTTGAATCTCAAGTCAAAAAGCATCGAGTTTAGACAGGTGGAGAGTACTGCAGGGAGCATAGACAAGTACGTTGAGAGTTTTTATCTAAAGAAATCTAATCTCTCTATAACATTTTTGTAAGTAACACTAGTAAGACACACACTTCAGCTGAACTACACAATCCCAGAAACTGTAAGAGCAGCTGGATGCACTTCAGTGGCTTGCGTAACTGCAATAAAAACCTGACTTGATCTTAAATGCCACAAAGTCATGATTTGGTTACAGGCCAAAAACCATGGTTGCAAAAAAATACGATTTCCAACACAGCCAACTCTCTCCATTTTTTGTCTGTTTACATGTGCACACTTACTGTTCTATATTATGTTTTCTAACTGACTAAGATATATATACTAACTGTAATGTAGCAAAGTTTTCGGCAAAGTAGCAAACTTGAACATTGCATTACAGGAACTTTGTTACAAAAAAAAAAAAAAAAAAAAAAAAAAAAAAAAAAAAAAAAAAAAAAAAATTATATCTCAGTATTTTCCCTTACATTTCAAAATATTTTATATTGTCACTGCAAGTTCACACCTTCCACTGCCTTCAGAGTTGCATTTCCTCAGTATGCAAGAGACATTTTCTTTGCTAGTGTCTTCAAATCTCTCATTTCCTCTATCAGAGGAAACAAGAGATTTAAGTTCTCAAAAATTTAAGTAAATTTTGGTGTACCTTCTTAAGCCAAACTTTACCATAAACAACTGGCCTGGGGGAAATCTTATCAGGAACAGAGTTTAAGAAAAAAAAAAAAAAAAAATCCCCAAGTCCCAAGTCTTTTAAGCTTTAAAACGTTGTTTTAAGAAAAATCTACTTCTCTCCATCAAGGGAATACATGAAGTAATATTTTTTTTATACTGGTTTTAATAACACAGCTTCATGCTTTCATTAAATTACTGATTAGACAAAATAAAAATAAAACAACACCCACATCCAAACAGGCATGGTATTTTTACAAAAATTCATGACTTGCATATCTGATTTTTTCAACCTAAATAACCTTGTTAACCTAAAACAAGATACCTGCTGGTGGTAAAGGTCTTGTTCCTCCACAATTTCAGCTGCTTCTTCCTCAGTTTCCTCCTCTTCCCCTTCACGTATAGTTGTTCTAAAGACAGTGCTTCTCTGAGCAACCTCCTGCAACAGAGTTTTATTTTTAAGACTTGACTCCTCTAAAGAGCTAGTGCTAATCTACTAAGATTTTGAGAAATGGGAGTTCCAGCTGTTGGGAAAGCTACTTGTACTGATTTTGTCTATATACTTCACGTACAGCTGTGCATAAACAGCATTCATATACCTTAATGATTAAGAGTCTAACAAGACACTCATTGAGTTCTTCCAAAATTTGCTTTTTTTATATATTTAAATGTTTTTATTCAATTGGAAGGTGCCATAGCAACTGTCCTACCCAAAGTTTTAACTCCCGCCTTACCAGAATTAATGCCTTATTGCTTAAAATGAGTTTCACTGTAACATTGCCCACTCCCCACAAACACAGTTTTAAGGAAAACTGATTTAAGAGACAACTCACTGAAGAGTTTACTAAAATCTTTTCTTTCCAAAGCATATTCTAAGGCACTTCCCAATTGCTGGCATGAGAGCAATGTCTGAACAAGTCATTCTTCTACTACTTATACTCAATAAAGGGAAAACTTCACATGCTTCAATAGATTGCGTTCCTAAATTGCAGTAAGACAGACAAGGGTACAGTATGCTTGGTTGGAAAGCAAAAGGAGAAGACTTTACTAAACACACGTGCATTCATGTGTAAAGTGCCAACAGTGGTTCCACCTGCATCTTGATAGGGGATGGCGCCATAGAAAGACGAGTTTAAACACATCTGAGGTACTTTACCTCTCCCTGAGAATTTTTCAGTACAACTTTCACATCTTCACCAGTGCCCCAAGAATTCTGGTTCTTCCAGATGAGGTCAGTGGGAGGGCTAGCAGTTACTCCAGCATTTGCAGCCCAGATCTGTTAAAAGAAGTCACACAAAAATAGATCCTCCTAGAAGCTATGCTAAGGCACATGGAGGACAGGGAGGTGATTTGAGACAGCCAGCATGGCTTCACCAAGGGCATGTCCTGCCTGGCCAACCTAGTGGCCTTCTGTGATGGAGTGACTGCATCAGTGGACAAGGGAAGAGCTATGTATGTCATCTATCTGGACTTCCGTAAGGCCTTTGACATGGTCCTCCCCAGTATCCTCCTCTCTAAATTGGAAGGATATGGATTTGATGGGTGGACTGTTCAGTGGATGAGAAATTGGTTGGATGGTTGCATCCAGAGGGTAGTGGTCAACGGCTCGATGTCCAGATGGAAATCAGTGACAAGCAGTGTCCCTCATGGATCTGTACTGAGGCCAGTGCTGTTTAATATCTTCATTAATGACAGACAGCAGGATCAAGTGCACCCTCAGCAAGTTTCAGATGACACCAAGCTGAGAGGTGCAGCTGACACGCCTGAGGGACAGGATGCCACCCAGAGAGACCTGGACAAGCTTGAGAAGCGGGCCTGCGTGAACCTCATGAGGTTCAACAAGGACAAGTGCAAGGACCTGCACCTGGGTCGGGGCAATCTCTGGTATCAATACAGGCTGGCGGATGAAGGGATTGAGAGCAGCCCTTGGGGGTACTGATAGATGAAAAGCTGGACATGAGCCGGCAATGTGCTCTCGCAGCCCAGAAAGCCAACCATATCCTGGGCTGCATCAAAAGAAGTGTGGCCAGCAGGTCAAGGGAGGTGATTCTGCCCCTCTTCTCTGCTCTGCTGAGACCCCACCTGGAGTGCTGCATCCAGCTCTGGGGTCCTCAGTATCGGAAAGACATGGACCTGTTGGAGAAGGTCCAGAGGAGGGCCACAAAAATGATCAGAGGGATGGAACACCTCTCTTATGAGGAAAGGCTGGAAGAGCTGGGACTGTTCAGCCTGGAGAAGAGAAGGCTGCGGGCAGACCTTATTGGAGCCTTTCAATACTTAAAGGGGGCCTACCAGAAAGATGGGGACAGACTTTTTAGCAAGGCCTGCTGTGACAGGACAAGGGGTAACAGTTTTAATCTAAAGGAGGGTAGATTTAGACTGAACACAAGGAAAAAAGTTTTTCAGGATGAGGGTGGTGAAACACTGGAACAGGTTGCCCGGAGAGGTGGTGGATGCCCCATCCTTGGAAACATTCAAGGCCAGGCTGGATGGGGCTCTGAGCAACCTGATCTACTTGAAGATGTCCCTGCCAGTTGCATGGGGGTTGGACTAGATGACCTTTACAGGTCCCTTCCATCCCAAAGCGTTCTATGATTCTATGTGATCATTATTTGCTAGTCTTATACATTTCCATGTTAGTTATTGAGTTAGTGTATTCCATTTAAGTGACACTGGTGAATCTCCTCCAGTTAATAAAATACAAGTCTCTGCCTACCTACTTCCAAAGTTTCTTACAATAAAACACCCCTACATTTTTTAATGTAGAGACTTTTGAGTATGTAAACGCACCTGTTTATTGTCAAAACTATTGCTCCACATAGAAAGCAAGTTTCTGAAAAATGTGTTTCTGTCCAACTTCTTCCCAGCAACTGATACAACTAATGTCCAATACAAATATAGGTAGTTATTTTCTTAACACGTACATAGAAAGGACAAAACTAAAAACCTTGCGTCTTACGACACACTCAAGTTGGCCTGAAGCCCATTTCAACTGAACAGCTGAAGCTTGACAACTTACTGTAACAGTTTGGCCTGCCTTTAGTATGTATCTTGAGGTATATCTGTAACTAGCAGAAGTGTCTCCTATTTTTCGGATCATCTCCCAACCTCCCATAGGTTGATCCTAATAAAAAAAGAAAAAAATTTCCATCAGTAGTCATTTTCTGTTACATATGTAGGGTATTTTACATATAAGGCCATGAGGCACGTAAAATTTTCAGTAAAAATGTTTATTATCACTTGATCTTCAGCATGCAGTTAGAATCATTTTAGTTAAATTTGTCTTACCTCTCATTCAAGTTAAAGCTTAATACATCCTGCTTTTCAGTTCTGATGTTATATTAACTAATGTTTATAATTTGCATCAGTTTTGATATAGCTTGGTCCAGAAAAATACATAAATAAATAAAATCCCATTACAAATATATAATACATTCTTGAAGCACAGAATGACAGGCAGGCTTCTTTGAAAACAAAATATTCCTGTCAGTCGTCTTAAAATGTGTTTCCACATATGCACACCTCCCACTACATACTCCTTTGCAAGACCTACATTATTTTTCAATTATTTTTTGCCTATCAGCTACTTGAAAAGCACTAGCAAATCTAATAGAAAAACATATACAAGTAATCATTACAGAACAACTATTTCAAAACAAGAGTAGATCTTTTTTAAATTCTCCCACCAACAGTTCCCTAACATTAAACAGTTGCCACTGGAGTCTGAAAACAGACAGTTAAGATCCTCTAAAATGAACAGTCTTATTTATCTTAATGGATGCTGACATTCAGTTGGTCATTGCAACAAAACATACCATACTTAAAGAGGATTTTATATATTTTCTATTTTTATAGATATAGATAAAAAATAGATATGTGTCCAACACTTGTGAAAATTCCTCAAGCACAGCTTATTACACTGCACTACAGACAGCTGCTCAAATCTAGATTCCTGGCAAAGTGCTATAACCATGAATCATCCATGGCTACTGGTGACAGAACTGATGGCCCATCCATGGAACAATGACTGTGTAGTTAAATTAAAGACAGGGAACCCATGTGGTACACAAAGTGGGGGGCGGAGGAATCCCATAAGCTTGAAAAACTCAAAAAGGACAAAGATGGCAGGTCCTGACTCACTACAAGTAGTCTTTGATTCGTCTGAATTTAGTCATCTAAACACTTAGCTGTCTAGACCAAGACAGTTGTTAAGGTTTCTTCCATTCAGCAAATAAAGATGGCACTCTCAGCTAACACCCCAGGCAGGTAATTAAGATATGTATGTATCATCATCTGGAGGAGTCTGTCCGTCTCTTCATTGATTAGGGGGGACTGAGATGCTTGGAACAGACCAATCTTTGTATCTAAAACATGAAGATGAGCTGCCTTTTAGTGGAGGTAAAGGATCTGATGACATCAGACAAAGCCTATGTGTCACTGAAAACAAAGACTGCAGCTAACACACTTCTACACACAGCTGAAGCACAGACAGCACAGGAGAGGGCAAGAAGTACTTAAACCTTCTCTGAAATCAAGGCTGCAAGAAATTAGGTCTTGTAATTCTGGTGTCCTAATGAGACAATGCTCAAGTCTCGCTTGTCCCGGACAAAGAATTTAAGAAATTATAGTCTCCAGTCTCCAACCCCTCCTGTGATGACTCACAGAACTGTATATAGCAAAGGACTTTTTCTTCTTAAGCAGAAATTACAGGTAATGTCAGGGTGGGCTGGAAGAAGGGGTCTGGGGGAAAATGTACTGCATATAACAGTCAGCATCATTCTGAGGGCAACATACAGAGAAGTTTTCATTATTACTCAAATCAAGTACCCTTTGATAAATAGATGTGTATGTTCCCCTCAATACAAACTCCAACCTATTCATAGAAAGAAATAATCTCAGTAGCAATCATAAAGGTGGCTTTGGCATGGAAACTGAGGTATCCTAAAAACCGTGGATGCAGCCAAGGAAGAAGGAAACCTATAATTTAAAGAAGCTATATGCAAGTACAAGGAACACAGGCAATTAATTGCATCTAGACATTTATTTCGCATCAGTATGTACTACTTCTGGGGCTTTTTAAGGCAGAGAACATTCTTTAAAGGCTTTTAACATAGCCTCATGTCTAGTTGCACTATTTCCTATCAGTGACAATGTTATCTGTAAAGCTTTACAGGCAGATCACTTGCAAGGCAGAACTCAGAAGAGTGATAGAACACTTCAGTGGGTGGGCAACCTAGCAATAAGACAATTGCTACGAAAAGCATCAAAAATCATTAGGAAGAAGTCATGATCAATGCAGAATACTGTATGAAAGCTTATTTTGTGACACACTAGTTTCTTGGCGCCTATACAGTGTGCTTTAGCTCCAGGGTCAACATGAGGATGCCTTCTAACTCTAATCAGCCCATTGTAAAGTCATGATATGTATGCATTTTCAAACCTGTTCAGAGGTGTTCTTCAAGCGGATGAATTTTCCGTCAACGTCTATCTCCTCAATAGAGACATTTCCAGTGGCAGAAGCTGAGTGGGAAATGCTAACACTACTGCTGGCTTCAGATTCCTCCACATCAATCCTCTTCCTCTTCCCTCTGGTTGTACGCACACTACGGCTCGACGAAGCCCGTGAAACTGTCACTCGGGAAGATGGGCTTGGAGAAAGTTTCAACCTATATTGAAGAAAGGAAGAAATATGCATACATCACACTTTGGTCTTACTTTTTCCACCTTTTTTTTTTAATAGACTTTTCTTCCTCTCTTCTCTTCTTCCCATAAAATTATACAACAAAAAGGTACAGGAATATAGTAAACAAAGCATGTTACATGAAAAAGTGAAGCCTTAGGTACTTTTTGAAAAATTTAATAAAATGATGTCAAACAGCTGATTAACGCTTTTGGAGCATGGAATACTGATGGACTACTACATTAAAATCACAAAGGCATCTCTATGCCTTTGTTAAAGGCTGCACTCCTGGACAGATTGAACAAATAAAGAAAAAACTCATAGTGGGACTTAAGTCATTGTAGGAAATTTATGCAAAAACCCAACGGCACAAGAGCTTTTGCTGTTTTGTCCCCACACTTGAAAGGAATCAGCCTGGACCAGTAGGATGTCACTCAGAAAACAGTGAAGTATCAAACTACTTTAAGTGACAGCTGTGACTTATCAGGCGAAAATTCTCAGTATTGCTGAACTCTGGGGTCAGATATGGAAAATGCAACTAGCTGATAAGCTGGGCAATCATAACAGCTATTACTTTATTAAAATTATGCTATACTTAAAGAAATTTGGCTAACAATTAAATAACCCTGTAATTAACTCTGAAGAAGAATGTTAACCACAGACCTAGAAGTGACAATTCATTACATCCTCAGTGCTGAATCTTAATAGAAGAATGGTATTTATTCCCTTGAGAGCTATTGGTCTGACACTCAAACAGCTTGGTCTCATGGAGACTTAGAAGTGTGTCAGACAGTAGTGGGGGGGGGGGGGGAAAAACCAAACAAAAAAACAAACCAACAAAACAGTGCCTTGGAAACAGTAGTAAAGCACCTAATGAATGCATTCCCCGTAAGAACTGCATTTTAACAGAGAATGAAACAAGGAAAGCACACAGATACCCGCACTTGTTGCTATATTCTTTCATACCTCTCCTCTTCACCTTCCAGCAATTTCCGGTATGCATTGATTTCCATATCAAGTGCCAGTTTAACATCCAGAAGTTGTTCGTAGTCACTCAGTTGCTCCTGCATCTGATTTCTTATCTCTGCCATTTCCTTCTCTTTCTCAGACAGTATTTTGCGATAGTTTTCCCGTTCCTTAGCCAAGCTGTCCTCAAGCTCTTGCACTCTATCTTGCCATGCTCTAGACTAGAAAGCATTGAAAACATCAGTGGTGCAAAGGAAACCTCTCCCAAACCTCCACGCACTCTGCTATTCAGGTGACATGGAATTCAAAACATTAGGTTAAGCATCCTCCCCCCTTTCTGAATTCAAACTTGCCCATATTCAACTTCTGTTCTCGACCTCATCTACTACAAATATAACACCTTAAGATCCAATGAAACTTACAACATGCTTTGAAAGAAAACTACCCATTGCATTTTTCTGAGATCTGAAGATATGTTACTACACTTGTTACTACACTCAGTCAGGAAACGTTGAGCTTAAGAGTCAAACCATTTAAGACATGCTGGACAGGACACAGAATCAAAGTTGAACTCAGTGTACTTCATATCCTGCAGTAAGTAATTGCTCTTTAGCTTTCAGATGTCCACTTCCTGCTTCAGTTTACTGCTGCCAATTCTGAACCCTGGGAGGAAGTTCCTCTAAAGGAACAGGGGTTGTTGTCAGTGAAAGCCTGTCTGCCTGTTATCAAAGCCTTCAACGCTTGCTGAAAGTACAGTGGTAACTGTTCCATGCAGAGAACTAATTTGTCACATACTTTAAAAATCACATCAAGCCAGTAGAACTTAGTATTATACACACAGAATGGAATACTGACCAAAGAAAGGCCAAACGATGGCAGCTTTAAGGTTTACTTTCCCTGAGCATACTTTCTTCTGTTTGGTAAGTCTCTTGAGATGTTTTTAATTAAAGGACAGACACAAGAACCAATGCCCCACAACTACCTTGTCTGGCTAAGTCACCAAGTTTGCTAGGTAGGCACTCTACTTAGGAAGTCATCATAGTCTCAAGACAATGAAAACAGGCAGTCTAAAAGGCTGACACAGAGGACCAGTGTAACTGGTTGTCAATGTTAAGAGTCAGATAAGGAATTTAATACTGTGAGTTGAGTGTCACATGGAAGATCCCAGTGGAAACTACTACAGAGCTCAGTGTTGGTAACTCAAACCAGACCAGCATCAGTGATAAGAAGGTTGTCTTCTTCCAAGAGAAGAAAGCTGAAATTAGTGCTAGCAAATGGAAAACAAAACTGTACTGGTTGACATCACTAGCACTCCCAGCCTGCCCCCCCCAAAAAGCCCCACAACAGCAAAATCAGGTTTTTGGTGGACAATTACAGTCAAACTGGCAGAAGTTGACTTTGGTATCCCTGAAGTTAACAACCAAGCACCTCTGCAAATTCAGAAGCAAATTCTCTGAACCTAGCTGTCACTCCCAAGCAAACAACAGAACACAGGTAACTAACTAAAGTAGGAAGGAAAAAAAACTCTCAGAAACACCGGTTGACTGAACTACCAAAAGATAGATAATGGTAATCTAAAGACAGAAGTAAGACCTAGGCAGACAAAACTCTCAATCCACATTCACTACATCACCTGATCTCTTCCAGATACTAACTTGCCTATATAACAGGAAAACTGGGAAGACTGATACTAGGATCTGCCAAGTTATTCGGAAAATTATGAAGTAACATCCCCTGCATTTATATTCTTCACTTGATATAAAAAGAATTTTGAAGTCCTACAATAGGCTACTGTACAGGAGGAATATGATTCAAAATGTATTGCAGAAAGAATCACAGCCAAATATTACTAATATTTTACATTTTTCAAAAAAATAAATGTTTTGTTCTATTTTCAACTGATGAGTAAGTTACAAAAGCCCACTTCACAACCAACTCCTAACATTTTCACTCTACATTTTCCACGGCAGTGCACATGACATTACTCCCATCAAATAAGCTAGTACTGAACATATGGCTTGTCATAAGTTGTGTCATACTTCTTCAGGTGTGAATTATGTGCTCTGTGATCTGACTAAGTATAATTAGTTTCTGCTCAAGACCCTGCTCTACAAGTGCTCAAGCACAGTTATTTCATGTATTTTCTCAGTCTCATATTTCATCCTAATCCCGGTAAAAACTTAGGTTTTTTTTTTTTTTTTTAAAGAGTTCTAGATGCAAACTGGATCTAGGATGAAAAGAGACACCAAACAGAGATTGCATATTCCAGCTCTGGCTTTGAATGTTGCTTTGTGGAATCCTATGCTAGGCTATCCAATTACTACAGAACGGAACTAAATTGCTTAGAATGTCAAGAACTTTTAATACAGGGCTCTTGTCTAAAATTGTCCCATCTATCCACAAAAGTTTCTGCAAAAGCCAGTTAACAGTACCACTTTTCAAATACTCACTCTGTAGGAGGACACTGCACAAAAAATTCAAATTTGTCAAAAGGAGACAGTAAGAAATTTGAAAAAGTACAGAACAGTAGAACAGAAGACAAATTCAAGTCATGATGCTGAACATACTTACAAGTTAAGTGAAAGAAAGCCCTTTAATATAAAAACCAACAACTGTAATTAGCAAGACTGAAGAGTCACAAACAGCTTGTTACCTCTTTCTGAAGGCTGGCAAGATGGGAAGACAGATTATCAATTCGCATGCGACTTTCATTCAGTTCTTCCCTCACTGAGTTGGCTGTAGAATTGCTCATCTCGGAAGACAGTCTAGCATGCTCAAGCTGCAGTAGATCAAGTTAAGACATCAGTTTCAAAGTAGCTTTTAATAAAGAAAAATGAGTCACTAAAAACCACAAAAAACACTAAGCCGCTAAGTTCCTCTCTGCAGCTCTAACACAATGAAACACCTCTTTCTTTACAGGTTAAATACGGTGGCCTAATTACCTTGCTGGATTGCCCTACCTGAAATCACAATCCTCTGAATATTTATTCTAGGATTAAAAACTTTAAAAAGTTTCCCTTGTAGACATTACTGAAGTTTGCACTGCTAAATTCAGTTTTCATGCTGGCCAATGTTTAACTCTATATTTAATTACCGTAGCACTGTTTTTGAGTATGCTTAAATAGAAGAAGCTAAACTGAAATTACCAATTCTTGAAAAACAAGTATGTACCAATTTTCAGCCAACATAAGCAAACTGGTAATGTGCCTTCAGGTTACAGTGCCATGAGTCACTACTGCTTCATTCTATCACAACTTCAAGCTCAAATAATTTTATTTTTTTAAACTGGC